TAGTAAAGTACATAAGTACTTTATAAGTGTTTTATGTTATTTATTATATGAGTCCAGTAATACCGCAAGATTTTAAAGCTTGTCCCTATTAGTGTGCTCTCCTGTTTTCACTGTCAGCCGGCTAACTCGGCTAACCCAAAACCTAATGACACACTAATAAGGGACACACAAATACACGGACAGGCACAGTAATAGGAGACACATAAATGTGGACAGGCACATAAATCGGGGGGCCATTAATATGGCCATCGCGCCGTGAAGGTTCACACTAATCGGGACAAAAACATTGTTTTTATTTTTATTAAAATATATTAAAATATTAATATTTTTTACATAAAAAAAATTTTGTAAGATAAAAAAATATTTGAAAAATTGATATTAACTTTAAACCGACAAATTGAAAGCTACAGTATTTAGTAATTAATTCAGTAATGAAAAACAAATTTTCTTAAAGGCATACTAATAGAGACACTTACCTCATTCTCTTTTTATAAATAAAATATAAAGAAAGTATGAGGAAGTACAATTGAAAGAGTGCTATTTCATCAGTTAACATATTTAAATGTCTCTTTTAAAAATACTGATACACGGATGTATTGAACAAATATGTTCAAATTTACATTGAACGCATTCAATATATATTGAATAAATGTATATTGAATGTATCAAATTTAGTAATAGGTTTTTACGATACTAATTCATTAGCTTTATCAATAATATTTTATCATTAATGAGTAATACTCTATACATAAATAAATAAATAGATATGTGTGTACATATACTATATACATATATGCATATTTATTTATTTATGTATAGAGTAACACTAATTATTATATATGTATACAGGGTGAATTTTAATAGATGGACACCACATTTTCAAGCCGTTTACCATAGGCGGTAAATTACCGACTGCACCTCTAGTGCTTGAGCGATCTAGAGATGGCAGCGGCTTAGATAGATGTATGTACAAACGTATAATACGGCTTAATTCTCGTTGTTTTTCGTTACATTTTATTTATTTATTTATTTGAATAAAATGTTACGAAAGACGACGAGA